CATTTAATAAGAAAATTATCTATTAATTCAACTGGACTTTTTGAGGACCTACTCTGTATAAAATACTATTTCAAGTTCAAAGTAGAGAAAATCTTTTTTGACGTGAAGGATCTTCACACCAGAGAAATCTTTCAAAATATATTATACATTTACTATTTGTCTATCACTGATTTAATCTCTTCCTGATGACTTGGGGCTATTATACTCAAAACCAAAACAGATGGTTATAGTAATGCCATCACCATGAGTGAAACATTTCAGTGTTCCTATGCACAGATCCAGAAGATGCAGAAATGTAATGGCTTTTGAGATATTTATTGGTTTTTACAGGTTTTTTTTTTCTCATTGAAGAAATGCACATTTCTTCTTTTGAGTGTAACTCTCTGGAGATACTCCTTCCCTTTCTGGTTTCATCTGTATTTGGGAAGAGGATACTGCAGCTTGAAAGAATTATGAATAATCAAAAGGTAGAATGTTTACACTCTAGTAAGTGTATCTTGGATCGTGGAAGTATTTGTTCTTTCTTTCTTTCCCTAATGCTTCTTAACTATATTCCAGGAAAGTTAAAATTTTCAAACAGTTGACTTCCAGATATGAAGGATGTAATTATCAAGTTTCATTACATAAATCAATACAAAATTTCCAAACACTTTTAGAGCAAAATATCCCTTTGAAAACCCTCTATAATAAACAGGTATTTTTCAACAGCTATGATCAAAAGATGAAGCAACATCCTGTTTGATTTCATGAAGAAATACATGGGCAGACTGAATATATTAGTAGTGTTTCTGTATTTAACACATTATATTTCTGTCCCCTTAAAAACAAGGATAAACAACAGGAAAGCAAGGCCCAAGTCTGTCTTGTTTACAGGTATATTCCCAAAGTCTAATTTATTGCATTACCCTATTTTTTTTTCATAATAACACTTGGTATTACTTGAAGTAGTCTATGTGTTTGCTTGTCATTATTTTTAAAGATTTAGTTATTTCAAGGTGGAGGGGGGGAGAGAAGGGCAATAACAGGAAAGGCAGAGGAAGAAGGAAAGTGACTGAAGCAAACTGATCTCAGCTGTCAGCCCGATGTGGGGCTTAATCCCAACCAATTGAGACCGGAACCAAAACCAAGACTCTGACTCTCAACTGACCTTGCTACCCAGGCACCCCTGTTTTTTACTTTTTGGTCTTTCCCTGCACACAAGAATATAAACAAAATGGAAGCAGGGTGCTAGTCTTTTTTGTTTATAGGTGTATTCCCAGTGTCCAGAAGGCTGGGTGGCACCTACCGGATGCTCAAAAAAGTTTGTCAGAAGAATAAGACTAGGAATGAATGATGATCGTGGCAAAATATAAAAACTATCGTTTCGACAGGAAACACGCTTCAGGCTCTAAATCTCCCTCCTTCTATGAAGACTTCTCTCCATTTGTAGCACACATTATGCTTATACACACTTATAGTATGATCCCCCAAACATGTGATGCTCAGATATATTTCCCCCAGAAAGAGCCCTTGCAGCAAAGAAAATGCTGATCCAAAGTGAAGATCAACAAAGGGGGCAAATATTAGGTAATTTTATAGGCAAGACACATTAAAGGAACAAACCAGCAAAGAAAACCAGGAGGGAGGTGCCGACCTGAACAGGCATTCCTTGTACTCACGTTCACACACAGGAGCACTGTCATTCCAAAGGCTTTCCATTTCAACCAAGATGCAGTAACTAGCAGAACTGCCCTTCAGGTGGAACCTGAGGAACGAAAGCACCAGTGGTGGGGTGAGCGCACCGTTTCTCTCTCCCCTTCCGCTGAAATACAGTTTAGTGCCTGAGATGAATGCCAGGTGAAAAAGCCCAGCTCATCGGCTTTGTCAGCTGCCAGAGGCTGTGAAATCAAAACATTTGCAGGACTGCGGTTTCCAGTGAGGACGGAGCAGTGACAACGGTCTCTGGTTGTCGACCGTCAGGGGGTCATCTGTCCATCCTGCCCTCTGACAGCTCCCTGTCTGTCTCTGTCAGCAACTCTGTTCTCTAGGCCACAACATAGCACTCTCCTCTCTGGTGGCTCAGGAGGAAGACAACTCCCGATTCAAGCTGGTAAATCAGAGAAGGTGAGGAAAGACAGCAGAGGCTGCTGTTTTGGGCCCACACGTTCCGAATGTTCCAGAACACCACATCTGGCATATCCCCACTGTTGATGAGTTAATGCAAATTATCTGGGAAAGGAAGGGAAAGGTGAGAAGAGAGGGTTCTTTGGAGAGCAGTGGCTCCCTGGATTGCCTCCAGGGCTTTGTTGGAACGGATATTTGCTGCCTGCCAAGGGATCCTCGGAATATATGGAGGACAGCTGCTCTGTCGTCCATGCTTTTTACCCGTCAGTGCTGTTGGAACATAACACCAAGGTCATTAGGATTCCCGTAGAGAGTTCACGACCTTACTGCAAACATGAGCGTAGGTCTTCATACTCCTGTGATACAGACTAACACTAATTAGCTGACCTAAAACTAGATGGAAAACTATTCCTCTTGATGCTTTGTTCCTATCCCGAATTCCACTATTGACCGGTTTAAATTTTTCTTGGAACAATCCCTGCATATTACTTGTAATTAACTTTCTTTGACATCCCAATCGTTTTATAAACAACCACTATGCAATATTTTTCCTTTCGTGCCTCCAAGTTACTTTTCATTCATACATGTAATGTTTCACCTGAATATCCAAGATTTCTTGTTACACTTCTGCTGTTCGGTGTATTTACTGTTTTTCCTTTTCAAGCACACGTGGCGCTTGGTTCCATCTGGTTCCCACCATACTTCCCAATCACTGTTTCGGGTATCAGTCCTTTCTGGTACTTCTTTGCCATTAGGCAGCTTGCTCTTTGGGTAGACCCCCATTGGCCCCGGTGTCAGCATAGCAGCATCGAGTCCTGTGTCCCCCGTCTCTCTGCCAGGTCATACTCACCCCTCATCACAAACGAAGGACACTTTCGCCCCAAGCTGGAAATTCAGTGGTAAGAGCACACGGCCATTAGGGAGTTGGCCCCGGAAGTCTGCACATGATTTCACTAGGATAACAACAGCAACAACAAGAACAAGAGAAAACAGAAGTAAGATGGTCATGTGAGGACGGAAAAGACTGATCTGCAAGGAGATGACAGTGTAGGCACCTGTACATCTTGGGGCCGCTGGGCTCCAGTCTCCCTGGGGCGTACAGCGCAGAGACGCTGCCCCTCGGAGATCATAGCCGGGCTCGCAGCTGTAGGACACTTCCTGCCCCGGGGAGAAATTGGCCTGGTTTTCTGCACTGTGCATTCCGTGCAGAATTTCTGGAGGCAGCTGACATACTGTGGAAAGAACAGGTGTGAAGGACCAGTCAGTGATGGAGAAACATCTTTTACTACATTCTAAACCTTCCGAGGAGTCCCAGGCTTATCATTAAAGGGGAGCTCAGATGTAACAGAGGAAATCAAGTGATGCTCCTGCCCCCTCCTTTTACCATTATGTAAAATCAGACAATGAAGGGATGTGCCCAAAGCCCTCACACCTAGTAAGAGGACGATCACTGGAGCTGAGTTCTTCCTGGCACAAGGTCAAATGCGTGACCAGGACCCTGAGGGTGCTTTCTCCAGAGCTGGCCAGTCAGCATGGAATTACTAGCCCTGTCATAAAGGAGAGCTGTGAAGGGTAGATGAGATAAGGCATTTAAAGTGCTTATTGCACAGCTGAGTAGAAAGTGCACCTCAGCCTTCAGGATATCGGGGAGATATTGGAGCTTGTATTTTACTCTGAGGATGCTCAATATGAGAGTCCCAAAGTCTCCTTCCTTGGTTGATGAAGCTCCTGCTTTCAAAGCGAAGGCACATATACGTAAGGGCACACACACACACACACACACACACTCTCATAATTTCATGCTTCATTTCCGCACATTGTTCCCCACACGCATCCTTCTCCCAGAACGAGCACTGACCTCCTGATCTCCCTGCAACCCATGCCCTTTGTCGGTCCCTTCAAAGCCTCAGTCAGACTCACCTCGGGAGCAGCTCGGCAACTCTGGCCCCCATGTGTTTTGGGCTTGGCACTGCACGCTGGGGGGTCCTTTCATGACAAAGCCCGGCTCACAGATAAACCTCACGGTTTCATGTAAGGAAAATAAGGTCTTGTTCTCAGACACCCTCACTGCATTGTCAATGTCTGGAGGTGTGCACTTATTAGGTATGATGCACTGAGGCGGAGGGCCGCTCCATACGCCAACGCGATTGTCTTTGCTGGTGCAATATATCGATGGGTTGCCCACAAGCTCAAACTGCTTTTTCCCTCTCTGTCCGGGATGGCAGCGATAGGTCACCACGGTTCCATAGGGAAAATCTTCTTTGTAGGGGTTAATGACATTTCCGTTGGCAATGGCTGGGGGTGGCCCACAAGGAATCGCTGGGAAAAGAGATGGCAACTTAAACAATAGTGGATCAAATAGCTCGTCAGAAATGCAATGAGTAGAACTAGTTTTGCATTTGTTATTGGTTTTTAATCTTTGGTAACATGGAGATACATGTCTACGAGATTGTGATTTTGGTGGGCATAATAGCATGCCTTCTGCCTTTCCTGCTTATACTATTTCCTATGAGCATATGCGTTTTTAACACAATCCACGTTCCTTTCATTTTAGATAGCTCTTTGATATATTATCACACCATAGTGTACACAGGTTTCCCGTCCTCTTTTCCGTTTGCCTTCTTCATTTCCATTTTGTTATTAGCTCAGGAGAGTGTTCAAAAAAAAAAAATAAATAAAAAGACCCTAGGCGCCTGGGTGGCTCAGTGGGTTAAAGCATCTGCCTTGGTCTCAGGTCATGATCCCAGGGTCCTGGGATCCAGCCCTGCATTGGGCTCTCTGCTCAGCAGGGAGCCTGCTTCTCCCTCTCTCTCTCTGCCTGCCTCTCTGTCTACTTGTCATCTCTCTCTGTCAAATAAATAAATGCAATCTTAAGAAAAAAAATAATAAAAAAAAACCCTTGCTGAAAGAAAAATGGAAGGGGAGAGAAACAACAGATATACCAGTGCAAGAAGTGGAATTCAAAATATTTGCATACGTATAAGAAAATTACATGAAAGTGTAGACTAATGTAATGTGAAACGTTTTGAACCTGTAAATGATATGAATGGGAACACCTTCGGACAATTCCTGAGACCTCTAAGCCATGGGCCCTGGGACTCAAGATTACTGCAGTTCTGCAAGTACTGTAGGTGGCCCAGAAAAATAACAAAATAACAGTGTTTGAGCTGAATGAAAGTGGTGCCAGATGACTCATGTCCCAGGTAGAAATAACAGCAAGGATCCTTTCAGAAGAAGGTTCATCATCTAAGACCTTGAATTCATTTCTACAGAAAGGTTTTCCAATGTAATTCCTGACATACAATCAAGGATCACCAGGTACTGAAAGAAAGAAAATCCCATGAAGAAGAGGCAGCAGACTCACTGACAATAGAAATGGAACCGTTAGGACCGCAGATACTGGAGTTCTTACTCACAGATTGGAAATAGTTATGTTTGTCTCTTTGAGGACAATGTGTATGAAACCTAAACTTTTGGTAAGGACTAGAAACCATTAAAAACAACGGGGCAAATTTTGAAAGGAATCCAATACATGTTTTTATCAGTATAAAATACAGTAACTAAAAGTAAGAAGCTGATAGAATTAAAAGCAGGTCAGACACAGTTTAACAAAAATCAATGAATTGGAATCTAGGACAGAAGGAAGTCTTCAGAATAACACAGAGAGTCAAGAGAATCAGAAATATAGCAGAAAGAGTAACGGACTTACAGGATAGAGGGATAAGGCCTACCACATGTGAGGAACACAATGAGAGGAAAGAGATATCAGATCACGGACATTGGAAGTAATGACAGAATATTCCAAAACTGATGAAAGACATCACTGAACCACAGATACAAGAATCCGTACAAACTGAAGAAATAGAAGTACAAAAAAAAAAAAAAACCTTTACTTAGAAACATCATAGCAATATTGTAAAAAATCAAGAGCAATGAATTTTAAAAGCAGCCAGAAAACAGAGATGACAACTTTTAAAAATCCTGTACTTAGAAAAATGTTTAAAGAATCTATCACCAGGAGACCTACAATATAAAAATGCTAAAAGATCATTTTTTTTGATCAAAGGAAAACAGTGTTATAAGGAACTGATAGAACGGTCCTATGGAGGACGGATTACGGAAATAGTTAATATGTGGATAAATATGCATAAATACTGTTTTCATAAAGACAACAATAGTGTCTTTTGAGATACTTGTAAAAGTACAAAAATTAACACAGTGTAGGAGAATCAGGATATGATCATCTCAATAGAGCCACAGTGATAAATTAGAATCCACATTCATGAGAAATCTTTAGGTATAAAGGGAATTTCCTTAATCAGATAAATAATGTCTCCCCCAAATCTTTAGTAAACACCAGGCTTTATGGTGACTATTCAAAACTCAGTATCATCTCTTCCATTCAGCATTGTACTGGAGTTCTAGCCAACACAGTCAAGCAAGAAATAAATAAAAGATACAAGAAAGAAAGGGATTAAACATAGGATAATTATTTATCGGCGACATGATTATTTATGCAGCATATCCAAAAGAATATACAGATAAACTATTGCATTTATAAGAAAATTTAGCAAGATTGTTGGATCCAAGGTCAAATGATTGCATATTTAAGAAATGTTACATTTCCCAATGTTACATTTCTATGTTTACATCATTTTCTAAAATGTAAATTGGCAAATATTATGGAGAGAAATTAAAGAAATTTCAGAAATGGCAAAATATGTTCATGAATTTACAACTCAAAAATGTAAATATGTTAGTGGTCCACAGATTGAACTACGGAATCCCTAGAAAGCCAATAGAAATTTGAGTAGGTTTCTTTTTTGTGGAAACAGACAAGCTGATTCTAAATTTTGTCTGGAAATGCAAAGGGGCAAGAATTACCAAATAAATCTTGGAAGAAGTACATGTTTAGATGATACACCAGCAGGTATCAATTCTAAATAAATGCTGTAGTCATGAAAACAGTGTGATAAATCAACCAGGGGAACAGAACCTCTCTGAAATGAGACCCACTTATGTCACCTGATTTAGGGTATTATACTATTGCCCTGTGATCTATGGGAACCGGTCTTTCCTTTTTCTTTCTTTTTTTCTTTCTTTCTTTTTTTTTTTTAAAGATTTTATTTATTTATTTGACAGAGATCACAAGTAGGCAGAAAGGCAGGCAGAGAGAGACAGGAGGAAGCAGGCTCCCCATGGAGCGGAGAGCCCGATGCAAGGCTCAATCCCAGGACCCCAGGATCATGACCTGAGCCGAAGGCAGAGGCTTTAAACCATTGAGCCACCCAGGCGGCCCTGGAACGAGTCCTCCTTAAACGGTTTTTTAGATAAATGCTATTACAGCAACAATGTCCACAATGGCCAAACTATAGAAAGAGCTGAGGTGTCCATAGACAGATGAATGGAGAAAAAAGATGTGGTATTAGGCAGAGGAAAATAAGTCAATCAGAGAAAGACAATTATCGTATGGTTTCACTCATATATGGAATATAAGAAACAGCACGGAGGATCATAAAGGAGGGGAGGGAAACTGAATGGGAAGAAATCAGAGAGGGAGACAAACCATGAGTCTCAACTCTAGGAAACAAACCGAAGGTTGCTATTTTTGTTTTTGTTTTTGTTTTTGCAGGTGTCATTTTATTTCTCATAATGTTCAAATAGCCAACATAATTAGCTTTTGATGTAGTGTTCAACGAATCATTAGTTGTGTATAACAACTAGTGTTCATTGCAATACATGTGCTCCTTAATAAACATCACCTGGTTACCCCGTCACCCCACCCACCTACCTTCTGTAACCCTCAGTTTGTTTTGCAGAGTCCAGAGTCTCTCGTGATTTGTCTCCCTCACTGATTTCTTCCCATTCACTTCTCCCTACATCCCCAATGGTTCTCCATGCTATTCCTTATGTTCCACACATGAGTGAAATCATATGATAATTGTCCTTGTCAGTTTGACTTATTTCACTTACCATCATCTCTTCCAGTTCCATCCATGACGATGCCAATGGTGGCTATTCATCCTTTATATCCATTGTATATATGTACCACATCCTCTTTATCCCATTCATCATTTGAAGAACAACTTGGCTCCTTCCACAGTTTGGCAATTGTGGATATTACTGCTATGAATACTGGGCATTATATGCAACGGATGAATTATTGAACTCTACATTCAAAATTAATGCTGTTCTATATGTTGGCTAATTGAATTTTAAAAAAAAAGGTATTAGATGAATTGCCTATCCATTAGGAAAAACAAAGAAACAAAATGAGCAAACAAATTCCTTGACCAGACTCTACACCATACGAAAAATTAATTTGAGATGAATCACAGACTTAACTTGAAAGATAAAATGATGGGCAAAGTTTTCTTATGGAGAACACAGAAAGTAGTGGCCAGAAAGGATAGACATAGTAAGTCTTATTAAAGGACACTAGTAAAGTGCACATTATCTATCATCAAGAAACATCATAAGAAAGCAAAGGATGAATTTTAGCCTGAAGAAAATATGTGTGTTAGGCTTACTGGAAAATCTGAGATTGGATAACGAATTCCTCAAAGCAATAAAGAGATACACAAACTAGCAAGATTGGAAGACAGTTTTGAACAGGCACTACACAAAGATATGAAAGGTGCTTAGCATCCTCAGTCTTTTGGAAAATGCAAAAGAAAGCAGCAGTGAGCCACCAGCCCAGCTAAAATTTAAACACGTGATAAATACCAGGTTGGCAGAGATATGGAACAGCTGGACTTTTCATATGCCTCTGGTGCGAGAGTAAATTTGTCCACTCACTGTATAAAATCTTTGGGCAGGATCTATTAAGACTGACCACGTTCATACCCAACAATTCCACTTAGAGAAATGTCAACACTGTTTACATAGAACATGTAAACGTTTTATCCAGCTGCGCATATATATAGACATTTGAATATTTACATGTGTGTATATGTGTGCATTTATTGCCTATGCACACGCATAAAATACTACTGACCTATAAACAGCTGAATTTATGAATTAATTGTTAAGTTCACACAATGAAATATAATACAATGAAAAAGATCCAGTTAATCTTACATGCAACAACGTGAATGATCTCCTACACATATCATTTAACAGGAGCTGGACACATAAGAGTACATGGTTTTTGATTCCTTTAATGTAAAATTCAAGCAGAGCCAAAACTAATCTTTGGTGATAGAACCCCAATAAATGGTCACTTTGGGAAGGCAGTAACTGAGAAAGGGCATAGGGGAGGCTTCTGAGGTGGTAAAACGGACTAAATTTTCTCGGAGTGCTGTTTACATGCGGGTGTT